TCAGATTCCTTCAAAAGTATCCCGGATTCTCCCTTGAAACCGGTTCAACCAGATATATTAACAGCTCCAACTAACAAGGTAAACCTTATTCCGGATTCTCCCTTGAAACCGGTTCAACCAGATATATTAACAGCTCCAACTAACAAGGTAAGCCTTACACATGGTTATAATTGGTCATGTGGCCGCAGTGCCTGGCCCCTTTGCCTGTCCTAGCCGCGGTGCCCGGCCCCCTAGCATGTCCTAGCTGCAGTGCTCGCCCCCCAAGCCTGCCCCAGTCGCAGCACTTGGGCCAGATTTTGTCCTAGCCTAACCTAACCCTAAAATATTTAAAATTAAATAAAAGTTTTGCTGAAAAAAAGTGGTCATTTATAAAATTGATAGGAGGGGCGGGGGGTCAAAATCTTTCTCTTGGTCTTTTTAAGCTTTAAGGCCATCAATCTAATAAAAAAAGCAATTACATACTTAATTTTTTATTTTCCTACAGAAAGGCGCGAAGTGCTCTAAATTTCTATTGTATTCCAGGTTTGTCGAGCTCGAGGTTTGTGCGTAGTTTTAGCGGAGCCCAGAGCGGAGGATCAAGAGGCTGGAAGAACGAGACCCCCCAGGGATCCAAAACTGAGGTGAGAGAGACTTATATTAAAGGAACTTAAGTGGTAATTTCTAGAGATGGATTCACTCACGACGGTACCATTTAAACATGTGTCCTGATCAATTATATTGAAGAAGCTTAAAAAATGTTTGATTTTAACAGCTTCCAACATTTGCTACAATTTGAGATAAAAAGATCAGAGGCCGAATTCAAAGAAATTGAGCCGCGGTTCAAATATGGTTGGTTCCACTTAAAACTGTATTTAATGTTTCAAAATTTAAGTCTGTATTTAAGTGAAGCGGATTTGAGACGCGGCTCAAATTCATTAAATTCGGACTCAGGAAGTTTTTCGAATCTAAAATGACATACCATTAATCGAGAGTCTCTAAATATATCTTCTTTGGTCCCTTTAAATAATAAAAAAAACTAAGATTTGAGTAGCCTTTAACATTCAGAGAAAATCTACGAAACTTATTTTTAAAACTGTCTTTGAGAATCAGTAACGGTACCTTGTAAATCTTTGTTCTAAATTATCTTCGTTTTTGTCAATTAACTTTGGGTACTTGATGGGAAATCATGGTAATATTTAAGAGGAAAAGTCTTGAATTGAAGCTTTTTCATTAATGTTTACATTAAGTGTACTGCAGGTGTTTGTTTACAGTCCTGAATCCAACATTACCTGGCCAGACCCTCAACTAGGGGTTCTAGGTTCATCAGATCCATTTTTTACATTTCCCGGTCATATAGGTAAACCTAAGCTAGGGGTTCTTGCGTAGGGGTGTTTAATTTTTAGAAATCATTTTTCCCCAGATGTTAGGCAACATTTTTTTAGCGGTTTATTTGGTGATTTGGGAAATATGAATAATTTTTAGAGAAAAATAAACGAATTTTTGGGTTTAAATTATCTTAAAGTGTAAATAAAACTTTCCATTTGATGTCCAATTTTTCATTTTCCCCATAACATAATAATTCAATCATCATAATCCCTGGCTGATTAAAGATAAAGAAATCCTGGAAAAAGTACAGAAAAGAGCTACTTCCATGACTTCTGGACTCTCATGATTTACCTATGAAGTGAAACTGAGAGAGGTTAAGACTCATTAGTCTGGAGGAAAGAAGGAAGAGGGGAGATATGATTCAAGTCTTGAAAATCCTACATGGACATGATCATGTGGGTAAAAAAAATGGTTTAGCTCAGCCTATGCACCTGGTGAAAATGAAAGACAAACCAGAATGTCCAGTGATCCTTTAAATCTGAAGTTACCTGTTGTGCACACCGAAATACGAAGAAACTTTTTAAGTGCAAGAGTTATCAATATATGGAATGATATTCCATATGAAATCAAAAGTGCTGAAAACCTGAACATTTTCAAAAACAAGCTCGATAACTGGCTGAATTCCTGAACGGCCAATGAAGTCGGAAAAGAGATGTTATAAATTTTTACACCCGGGATATATAAACATAAACACACCAATTAATCATTTATTTTGCCCAAATCAGGGAATAATTTTCGCACCCTACTCAAACGAATCTCGTACTGGAAGAAATGAATTTTAAGAGAAGGTTGGAGGGAAAATAGATTTTAAAAATAATATTCATACCCCAGAAATAATCCTCTCACTCCTATGCAGGCTGTAGTTTGACGGGTCAACTACCAGAGAAGAGTTCTCCTTTAAAACCGGTTCAACCAGATATATTAACAGCTCCAACTAACAAGGTAAACCGTATCCCGTATTCTCCCTTGAAACCGGTTCAACCAGATATATTAACAGCTCCAACTAACAAGGTAAACCTTATCCCGGATTCTCCCTTGAAACCGGTTCAACCAGATATATTAACAGCTCCAACTAACAAGGTAAACCGTATCCCGTATTCTCCCTTAAAACCTGTTAAACCGGATATTCTAACAGCTCCAACTAACAAGGTAAACCTTATTCCGGATTCTCCCTTGAAACCGGTTCAACCAGATATATTAACAGCTCCAACTGACAAGGTAAACCGTATCCCGTATTCTCCCTTGAAACCGGTTCAACCGGATATTCTAATAGCTTCACCTAACAAGGTAAATAAATTATACCGGATACTTCGGGTTTTCTATCTAAGTGACCTGAGCAATGCACATTTCTTCTTCGGAAACAATGAAGGAAATTTACGAGATTTACATTTATCAAGATATAAATCGACGAAATCGTATTTGATCTTGATCCAACTAAGCCGTTGATGGTACTGTTGTGAATCTGGACACAAAAATAATTTGCTCTTTACATGAAAACTAATGTTAATTTTTTAGTAATTTTATTGACGGTAATATTTTTTAGGAGACCCAAGTACACGCTCTGTACAACGCCAGCGATTACATCAAGTACACTCCAGGTATTGTTATTTAACGTACTGTACAACATAAACAATAAAGAATGAGAATCAAGTTTAAATTACTCACTCTAAATTATTAGTCGTTAAAACCATTTTCTCCTTGTAGACGCAATAGATAGAAGTAAAAATAATAGCCATCGATATCAAATTCAATTCGATATCTGCCTATACCCGCTTTAATTTTTCGCGAACACTCCCTTTATGATAGGTAATTCTGGCCTTAAATTTACAACAAACTTTAACAAATTAGTCACAAAAAAATCTGTTTAGTTGACTATGAAATAACAAGTTATCTTGACTTTGGAGTGGAGCGCTGACCCACACTTTATTGAATGAGAAATCTGTTTAGTTGACTATGAAATTACAAGTCATCATTACTGTTTGGAGTGGAGCGCTGACCCACACTTTATTGAATGAGAAATCTGTTTAGTTGACTATGAAATTACAAGTCATCTTTACTGTTTTGGAGTGGAGCGCTGACCCACACTTTATTGAATGATGAGTTGTCTTCTGAAAGCAGAAATAATCAATATTTATAAAGTTGTAATCTCTGTTTGTGTATGTCTGATCATTACTCATGAACCCCATGACCGATTTCCTCTCAAATTTTTATTGGGGAACTCGGGAGAACTACGGGAATGTTCTTAGCCTGGTTTTAGCTGGGCCCCCAAGCTATTAATAAAATAAAACACTTGTTGCTAAAAACACATTTGTTAGAAATATAAATATTTAAGGTTCTGAATCCCTGGTCTGCGCAGATATACTAGATGAGTATCCTAAAATAGTTGGGATGGAGTCCGTTCAGTTTGGAGTACATGATACTCCACTCCTTCTCAGGTAGAGAGAGATTGATTGATTGCAGAGTTGTTTCTGTTTAGATTTGTTGATTTTCTTGAGCATTGCAATAACCAAAATAAAAATGGAACAAAATGAGCAAATTGAGAAAATGATCACTATGAGCAATATGAACAGTATGCGTAATATGGACAGAATGAACAAAATGAACAAAATGAACAGAATGAACAAGAATGAACAGAATGAACAGAATGAACAAAATTAACAAAATTAACTAAAAAAAAATAAAAAAAATATTGAATTAGAAAGGAGATGAAAGCCCTATTCCCGTCCCAGAATATTGACAACGGAAATTTTACAACAATTACATACAGGTAAACAAAAGTTAAAAAAAGAAAAAACTTTAAAATAGGATACGATTCATGAAAAAAACAGCTAAACAAATCGTTACCGATTAAGTTGTTTATTCATTGAATGCAAATTTTGTATTATCACTAAAATAATCTTTGGAGAAACTGTAACATAAACATAAATAATCATACCATATCCCCTCCCTCTATCTACTTCAGAAATCTTACGCCCCCTCCCCTCCTCATCCTAAAAACCTATGCTTTGCTCCAGAATAATGACCTCACCCTCCCTTCTTAAATAATCTACCATTTCAATTTTGATAATTTATTAACAGGTTTCTAATTTTAGTCAGAAAACTGAGAATGATATGAGTAAATGGTCTGACCAGGTACGAGGCTAAATCTTACTCTCGCAAAAAATAGAACCAACAGAAATTTTCCATGGGGTTTAAACTTTCATTGATTTTTTTTTCTAAGAGGAAATGATATTTCTTTGTAAAGAGTTGATTTTAATATGGACCTGCAACCTGCATAGATACGTTTTTATATTATTGTATAAAGGGGATTTATTTTTTTCTCAAATTATAAAAAAAGCAGTTTAAAAATAATTTTATTCTGGAACTAATTCATTGATCTATTTTGATCCGATGAAAAATTAATAAATCTGTTTTGATCTAAGGAGTAACGACCAATTTAGAAAATCCATTTTAGTTTGAAAATTAATTAATTAAATCAAATAATTAAAGGTTGAAGATGAAAGAGAGAAGAAAATGGAATCCTTTGTCCAGGCTGCTAAAGAGATCTGTGCTAGGTATTCCTTCATTTCACGATTTTTTTATTTTTTTATTTTATTTTCTAGGATAGTTTTATGCAAGAAAATTCAAAGTGGAATCAAATTTTCTTCCCTTTTTCTGTGATAACATTTTTTCTTCTTCTTCCATACTTTTTTATTTCTCTTCCCGGCTCTGTTAAGTCAAATGTTGACTTCTTTTTCCCACATTTCGGTCATTCATCCTTTCATTTGTTCATTTATCCTTTTTTCATTTGTTAATCTTTTCTTTATTTATTCATACATTCATTCTTTATTTATTTATTTATCATTTCATCTTTCATCCTAAATCATTTGTTCCTCCAATCATTCATATATTCATCTTTTCATTCATTCATTCATGTACTCAAGTATTCATTCTTTCATCGTTTCAACCTTTCATCCTTTAATTCATTCATGTATTCACGTATTTATTCATTCATCCTTCATCCTTTAATTCTTTCATTCATTTATCCTTTCATCTGGTTTCATTCATTAATATACCCATTTTTTTTTATTTATCTAAATACCTATGTGTACGTCTATCTATCTATCTATATATCTAGACTGAAGGAGGATGGATTCTGGGCTGATTTCCTAGATCCGTGCTCCGGTACTCCTTACTACGGGTATGTTAAAATTTTATCTTGTTGGAGAACCAATACTGCTTTCATGCAAAAATTGATCTGAACTTGCCAATTATTCTCTTTGAACTGAAGTTGAAAAATTCCGGATCCGGATCAGTATGAGAATGAAATAGATCATTAGCACTGCTGGAAACAAACGCAGATAAAAATGTGCATGTCAACGATTTGAAGTCTCCAGTTTGTATAAACAATTCCTGCTTTTCTTGATTTAAATTGATTTGAGATGAATTTATCTTTTAAGAAAAAAAATCTTTCAATTTTGAATCTTAAAATTAAAAGAGTCCACTGTTTGTCTAACAAAAATGATATTTTAAATTTGCATTTCTCTTTTCTGAAAAAGTAATAATATTTGTATTATTGCAAGTGTTCACACAAACACTACAATGTTTGAGACTGATGAGAAGTTTCGTCTCCTTGGATTCAGAATCGAGGATCTGGGCTGCTGCAAGGTAAATATAGGAGAAAAATTATAAATGCTACACTTCTAAAGGGACTGTGATTGCAATTACATGTCACCTTCCATTTTAAAGAGAGAAATGGCNACTAGTTGTTGTTTTTTGGAGAAGCAACAATTGAAAATAATCAATCTTAAAAAGAAAACTACGGATATCTCGTACATTCTTTTGAATCGGATATAAACTCTTTAAAGGGAGAGTCTCTTGAAATTCGTCTACAGCCCCTTTAAGCCCGAAAAGATAAATATTTTATCCCAAAGTCTTTTGTTTTAGGTTATTCTTCATCCCAAGTATGGACGAAATGTTTTCGTCGGCTGTATCGTCACAAATGCGGGGAAAAACAGTCCCGTACTTGAGGAAATTCTAGAGGACATTGTTTAAGAAGATCGCTTGGTGGATTTTCTTGTTTCCCCCGAGGATTTTCTGAGACAACTTTTGCGGATTTACAAGAACAGTAATTAACCCGATTTTAGATAGATGGGTTTAGTTCAATTATAATTCATTCTGGGGATTAAAACCATAAAAAGTTAAAAATTTAAACATTTGTTTGAAGTTTTATTACTCTTGTAGTATTAATGAATGTAATATGTTCAATGTAGATAACAATGTTTTATAATCAGTTTCCGGTGTGATAAATTTATTAGAATATACTTTATATATAGATTGTAGTTAGGAAACTGAGATCTATTTTCAGAAAAAATGTGATCAAATTAAAATGTAAAAATGTTGGCTGCACATTGCACACAATAAGTTGAATTAGAATAATGGAGTCCCCCGGACGGAAAACTTTTTTCCAATCTTTTCTGCTTGGAGGAGGTAACAAACTAACTTTGTTGGATACGGATCCGGATCCTTTGGTTCCGCAAATTTTTGCGGATCCACAGATCCGGATTCAAGGTAAAATATCAACCAAAACCAAGAAAAGTTTTTCTCTTAAACCACAATTCATCTGGAAACTTTCTAATCTCTGCTTCATAACGTTTGAGCATAACATTTCAGCGAAACGAGAGAAAAATAGGTGGAACATTTTTCATTTGTTATAAAAATCAACTTGAAGAAACGTTGATGACCTGGATCCAGATATGCATCATAATGAAATGGAATCCTAAGCACTGCACTGATGGATTTTAATAATTTTAAGTGTCCTCCAGGGTGTTCTAAAATTTGATTTGATTTCATTTGATTTGATTTGATTTCATTTGATTTGAAGCGCTAACCTAATTTAAATCGGGGAAAAAAGTGTTGAAATCACTGAATAAAAATTTCAAGTTTTGATTTAAGCAGAATACAAAAGCGAATTGTACCTTAAGTCCGTTTAATGGAGCCCTTCAGACAATTCATGCAAGAATTTCATCACTCACTGCTGATTCTAATGTTTCAAAAGTGAGACAAATCACTCTTTATGATATAATGGGTCACTCAAGGCCCTTTAAAAATGTTGATTTTATTGCAGTGAGTGGGACCCTATCCTCGGTTCTTCTACAACCATTAGGTTATAAACCATAATAAATCAATTGAAGGGACTATAGGCGTAATTTCAATTGACCCGCAATTTAGGGAGCGGCCAAACGCTCGTGCGCATGCCGCAATGATCAAGATGAGAGACATTAGTTTATATTTTAGAGTTAGTTTAGGTTAACACACTTTCTGGACCACGCGCTGCGCCTAGAACAGGCTAAGGGGCCAAGTGCCGCGGCTAAGACAGGCTAGGGGCCGAGCGCCACGGCCAGAACTGGCTCTCTCTCTCTGTCTTTTAATTCATTGCGGCGTGCGCGCGTAACTGCGTTTGGTCGTTTATTTTATTTATAGAGTGGCAAGTCCAATTTAAAACTTTATCTGAAGAAAAATAAAAAAGATGTCCTCGTTTTCTGCCTGAAAAAGTGTTCCGACTATTTTCATCATTTTCTCCTACTGCAGAAATCCGCAAGCTATTTTTTTTAGAAAAGTGCTATTGAAAATAATCAATTTAGTTTTTTAGTTTTAAGAATATGTATGACAAACATATTTCTTCAATGTGATAGGTGTCAGGGGCGCCGAGATCCCTGGTGAAGGTGTCAGGGGCGCCGAGATCCCTGGTTTAACTTAATGCACTATCAGTAGAAACAAAAAAGATATATTGACTCGCTGAAAATGTCACAAAAGTGATCTCCCAGCGAACAAATTTCCACTAATCCAGTAATCCAGTAATTTTGATTTAGAAAAAGTTTGAAAAATCTGTGTTCAGACCAACATGGTTTGAATAGAACACTCTAAAAATAAAGTCACTTGAATTACGTCTACAGTTCCTTTAACACGTTTTTTTTACTAAGATTCCAAATCAATATTTTTGATTTTAACGATTTCGATTTTATAAATGACAACAATACATTTTTGGTTTAGAATTGAAACTTAAACCTTTGCGAAGGACGCCGTAAGCCATTTCTGCCAAAGTATGATTTGATTTGATTTTGAAAAGCGCTTTTTTCATTAAAATATCGATAAATATTTTCTGAAAAAATTTTTCTCTCTCAATATTTGATTTTATTATTTATTGTACGGATATGATAAAAACCAGACAACAAGCTCTTCCTAGGATTAATCTGTTCAAACATTGTTCTCTCATACTTAGGAATTCAATCTTTCAATCCGCCATCTTGTTTTTTCGAAACTTTTTTATCTTTAAATCCATCTGTTTTTCCTTTTTTCAACTTTAAATCCATCTGCTTTTCCTTTTTCATCTTTAAATTCATCTGCTTTTCCTTTTCATCTTTAAATCCATCTGCTTTTCCTTTTTCATCTTTAAATCCATCTGCTTTTCCTTTTTCATCTTTAAATCCATCTGCTTTTCCTTGTTTTATCAATTATCGTAATTTCAAGGGACCTTTATTTAACAAATTCTTTAGAGAAGGAATCCGCAAAACACTTTTAGGAAGAAACCACAAAGGAAAATAATCAGTTTTTGAAATGGAGGGTGACCTGAAATTATGACTACCTACATTCCTGATAATAAGTCTCATAATGATGATGATGATAATCCATGTTTATTTATTACTAGCTGAAGGGCCCGGCGTTGCCCGTGGAAAAATAAAATTTCGAATTTTTTTAGCCTTTAACACCCCCGGCCACCCATGAGTGTCCACAAAAAATGTCAGCCCATTCGGTCCAGCTGTTTGGCCGGCTATAGCAACATATATATACGAATGTCTTGTTTTATTTTATAGATTTAATTTTAGGCTAAATCAGTTATGTATTTTTTCTCCTTTTGTTTGTCCTCTTTTACTTTTTTACTCTTTAATACTTTAAGCAGTTCTGTTTGGATTTTTAACAAACTAAACCAATCGATTGATTGACTGATTGCAATCAGGCACGAGGGGTTCTTCGCATTCTGGAAGGGGTTAGTCCCCACACTAGGTAAAGACGACATTTGATCCCATCTCAAAATTACAATTCTTAGAATCCTTGAATTAGGTTTACTTGAATTTACGTCTACAGTCACTTGCAATTTTTTAAGTTTTTTTTATAAACTTTTTTTTAAAATCAATACATGAGTTAAACATATCATAGTTGGGATTTGTAACCCTTTTTATTTTAATTTAAGAACATGTTTTTACCTGTACTTGTATTTAGTGAATCCTATAAAACTTTGGAATAGAAAGACGACTGTTGGACTCAAGTCACTGATTTTAACAAATCCAACAATATTAAACACTCAGACTCAAGTCGACTTTTAGCCTTAGTCCACAATTTTATGGGTCCCACTGTACTTTAGGAACCCTGCATGCCCAGGAAGGTCTACGAGGTTTAACCTCTGGTATTCTACCAACCCTACTCCGTGATGTTCCCTTCTCTGGTCTCTACCTCATGTTTTACACTCAACTCAAATCCAGACTAAAATCAGCTGATCTAGAAAATCCGGGAAACCAAATCAGAAAAATCTTCGAAAGTTCCGAGTTGCGGAATTTTGGTTGCGGACTGTGGTCAGGGGCTCTAGCCTGCCTTGTTACACATCCTGTTGATGTGATAAAGACGAAGATTCAAGTGTCCACGCCTGTTCTAAAATCAGGATTGTAAATTCAAACACCCCTGAAAGAAATTGTCCTTGTAATTTCAAGTGACTTATCTTTAGAGAAGAGCATTTCCGATTGACAAAAGTTGTGTTAAATTTACATCTTTAGGACATGTTGTAGCGGACATATTTAGAAATGATGGAATAGGTAATTATTTCCTAATGTTTTATGAAAAAAAAATAATTTTAGAAAAAGAAATATCAAAATGTTTGAAACTGACTTTGGAACCCAGTTTTGACTGGAAACTAAACTAGAGAAGTTAACCCATATTGAATATTTAAACCAAGCTAACAACAGTCCTGTTGTTCGACCGAGTTCCCCAATCAAAATATGAGGCAAATTGGTCAGTTATGATTGGACATGCAAACAAACAAACAAACAGATAGACAGACAGACAGACAAACAAACAAACAGACAGGCAGACAGACAGACAGACAAACAGATAGACAGACAGACAGACAGACAGACAAACAAACAAACAGACAGGCAGACAGACAGACAGACAAACAGATAGACAGACAGACAGACAGACAGACAGACAGATAGACAAACAAACAAACAGAAAGACATCACATAATTTATAAATAGGGTTACCCATGCGACTTCAGAGACGACTGGACGGAATATATTCAGCCTTTTTATGACATTCAATGCAACTAGAAAATAATTTCTTTTTTTTAATCATAATGTTTGTATATTCCAAGTTTATTTTCAATGCAGAAAATAAAATTCAATCCTCTGATCGGTACATTTTATGAATTTTAGATAGTATACTTTGTGGGTAACCCTGTATAGTTGTATAGTTGTATAGTCTATCTTTTATCTTAACTATTATTTGTTATTCCTAGCTGCAGCATTTTTCTTCTCAAATTATCAAACAACAACAAAAACATTTCCGCTGATTTCGTGGATTTCGAAAAATCGAAATTTTTCCAGGCATTTTTTAAACTCTGTCCATCTATAAACCTACCCTAGGGTCATGTGAGTTTCCGTAAAAATTTGGCCCCGATCGGTTCAGCCGTTTCGACTTTTATTTGACACAGACAAACAAACATGACTAATGGATTTATTTCCAGGTGGATTCTTCCATGGTCTGATCCCTCGGCTACTCAGAAGATCCCTCATGGCTGCAATATCTTGGAGCGTTTACGAGAACTTGTCCGTTTTAATCCAAAGATAGATATATAGATTTATAAATTAACAGAAATTATATATATATATATATATATAAAATTACTATGGAATAGAGAAACAAATGGAAGCAAGATATAGAAAATCTCCTGGTGCCTAAAACCAAATTTAATTTTTAATTGTTTTGAAAGCTTTAATTTTTAAAACTCTAAATGGGTCTCTAAAGATAAGATGAAACTAAAATTTCTAGTCAAAATCATCAATTTTAGTAAGAATATAATAAAAAGAATGTACTCCACAATTATAACACACCAAGGAATAAGCTTTATTTAATTTTAGATAAGTGGAATTGTTAGAAATATATTTTTATAAGATTGTTAAAACTTTAAACATAAATTTTAAAATACATTTATTTAAAATTTTCAGAATTAAAAAAAAAATTAAAATGGATTTGATGGATTCTGACGATGATCTGGACGATGTTGGGAGCAAGGGTGGATTCAATATCAATACCGATTATGCTGACAGGTTGGTTTGATTGATTAGTTGGTTGATTGATTGATTGATGGTTGGTTGGTTGATTGATTGACGAATGGATGGTTGGTTGGTTAATGGTTTTTAATCTGGTTTGTTGGTTGGTAAAATTGCTTTTAGAATGATTGGTAGAATGTGTTGAGTGAATATCGGGCAAATCAAAAAAAACTCAAGTTTTAGATACATGTAAACAACAATTTTTTTAATATAAGAAAATACAAGGTTTACATACCATTGGCACTCAGGCTAAGGATTAGCTCCTACGCTTATCTGGGTCCCGATATTACTGGTTTAATTTAAGATACAACGAGTACTGTATAATCTTTACAGTTTGCGTTTACAAATATAAGAAAAACCGGATCATTTAAATACAGTTACTAAACATTATACAAAGAGTGATGCAGTTTAAATGTTAGAATAAATAAAACCTTAAATTGGTTCGGAAATTCCCATATATCAACGAAATAGAATTTTTGGTAGAATGGTTGATTGATCAGTTGGTTGATTGGTTGATTGGTTGATTGGTTGGTTGATTAATGGTTGGTTGTCTGGTTGGATGGTTGGTAAAATTTTTGGAAGAATGGTTGGTATAATTCCCTGAGATCATTATAAAACAAAACAATCTGAGATGAGGTTGGATTTTATAAATACCGATAAGGAGTTAATCTAAGCCTGTCTAGTTTAATTACTTCTCTAGTACACTCTGGGGACTCGGGGTCACCAGAGATAACTTCAAATATGTGTATTGTGTACCTAGTTCAACTAATTCTTCATAAATTCTTAAATTCCGACCTCTACCCTTTATTGAAATTTCTTTAATTCTGGGACCAAATTTAATGAATTTGAGCTACGTCGCTGAATCAAATTTGAACCGGCGGTAGGAAGTTCAGTGACCGACCCCTCATATTCATTTAATTTAATCTTGTTCATAGAATATAAATTTGAATATTTCAAATATCAATTTAAATTATGGATCTGTTATCAGATACAACGATTGGCGAGGTAAAGAAGTTTTGCAGCGGTTGAAGGTTAGTGCATTTTTATTCTTCCTGTTGTTACCATTCTCCAATAGTTTAAACTTTGTCTTTTATTTATTTATTCAATTTATTAATAGATTAGTATAATAAAGCTATTTTGTATAAACTAATTATACTTTATTTTTTTATTAGTCTTTACAAACCTTAGTATTTCAAAACAAAGATTAAAATAGCAACTTAATTATCATTTCTGTCACTATAATAGTAATTTTAAACTAATTGATATTTCTAACATATAAAAGACATTTCTAACTTAATGATAGTCATTTCTAACAATCATTATCATTTCTAACACAATTTTAGTCATTTCTAGTATAGTAGTCATTTCTACCATAGCATAATAATAGTTATTTCTAATTCTAACATAGTATAAGAATAGTCATTTCTAACGATAATAGGCATTTATGACATAATGTTAGTCATTTCAGCATAATGATATTCATTTATAGCATTATAATAGTCAATTCTATAATAGTCATTTCTAACATAAATATAGTAATATCTAACACAATAATTGACATTTATAACAATGATGATTATTTCTAACAATAATAATCATTTCTAACACAATGATAATCATTTCAAACACAAAATAGACATTTCTAACCATGATAGTCATTTCTAACCCTGATAGCCATAATTAACATAATGGAAGTCATTTCTAACATGATAATAGTTTTTTCTAACATGATAACAGTTATTTCTAACATGATCATAGTTATGTCTATCATAATGATAGACATTCTAAACAATGATCATTATATGAACAAAGTCTAAAATATTGTTAAATCTAGGATAAACACGGTGAGGTTCCTGAATCAGATTCCTCTGAATCTGAAGACGAGGATTCCGATGCTGAAGGTAGAACTAAAATTATTTTAAAAACATTTGGGCTCAAATCAAATCAAATAAAAAATCATGGATTCAACGACAACACTTGTTATTTTTGTTTTTAAAACGGTAGAAGCTGTAAGACCTCACTTCATTCTTGATTTAGTAAATTCATTTCAAGTTTTTTTTTTTACAGAGGGATGGCATTGTGGAAGTAGAAGTAGAACGTCCCTAACAGTCTGATTTAATTTGATAAAATATATGTTTGTTTCAAGCATATAGGACATAGTTTATTATAGGTATTATACATGATTTAATTTGATAAAATATATGTTTGTTTCAAGCATATAGGACATAGTTTATTATAGGTATTATACATATTTGGAACATATTCAGTATGCATGTTGCTTGAGAAAAAATTAAAATTAAACTCCCAACTTTGCAAGGTTTTAATTTAGAATTAAAAACAACATTTTCCTGGTATCTTTGGTAACATGACAAAATAAAATGTCTGTTAATGTTTATTTAACTCAACTTTTTTTTATCTTTTAACTAACTTAATTTTAGAGCTAACAGAGGAAGTAGAGAAAAATTTCTTCAAAACTCTGGCGTCTCTTAAAGCCAAGGAAAAATTCTATCATTAAAAAACGAAAGAAAAAAAAACATAATTGGATATTTAAATCAAAGTAAAAAAATCACTTTTTTCTTCAAAATATAGAATTTTCGTTGAAAAAAGGATCCAAAAATCTACGACAAAGAAACCAGTTTCTTCCAGGAGAAGGAGGAGGGGGAAAAGAAGGAAAAGAAAGAGAAAAAGGAGAAAAAGTTTACAATCGGAGACTTGGAGCGGAAAGTTATTCTTGAAAAGGTAAGATATCCTGGAAACTTTTTCTTTATGATTGTCTATTTTTTAAAACATTTATTTAAAATTGGACTTATGGAATGTTCTCTAGTGCTTTTTGTTAAGAATCATATCGTAGACGCGCCCCGTCTCTCGGCAGTTAAAACACGAATCCTATGCATAGACAAAATTGTTGCAAGGTGGTAAAGAACTTAAATAAGAAATCAATAAAATATCGGAAACAACAATTTTTAGGTAGACAATATTGACTTCTGTCAAATCTGACACATAAACAAACTAAAAGACAGACAGGAAAACAAATATATAAATATCTAGCTTGGGAACATAGTTTTGCCTGGAGTTTATCCTAACCAATGAACCTAGAATTTAAAGACCAAACTAAGAACATTCCCGTTGTTCTCCCGAGTTATATTTATTTATTTATTTATTTATTATTTAAAATATTGTTCAGGGTGGTAAGTTTGAAGAATTAGAAGATGAAGGCCTTAAATACGACCAGGGGCAAACCTACGCTGCAGAACTCAAGGTAGATCATTTACTGCTTTTTTTTGGTGGATTTTGATTTTTAGAAAAATTGGGGATTTTACAATTTATTCTCAACTGCAACTTTTATTTTCAATGCTAGTTTCCTCCCTGGTTTGTTAAATATTTTTCTTAAAGTATATATTTTGAAGGAACCATTTAGAACTTTAATTATTTAAAAAAAAAGGTGAACAAATGTAACGATTTTTGTCCTCTATTTGAATTAAAAAAACTAGAAATTTTAAATAAAATAAAAACATAACTAATATTTTAAATTATTAGGGGATTCAAGAGAGTCTACAGAAGGAAGCAGCTGAATCAAGTGATGAGGTAATATATAGTAATTTAATTATATCTAATACGGTGTTGAATTCTGACACTGTCCTTTATTGTTTCTGTATCATATTCCGCAGTAAGTTTTCAAAGAGAATTCGCGATTTAAATCAATCTTTTTTTTACTAAAAAGTTAATAAATTTAGATAATTTTCAAAATTAGCAAAAATATGATTGAAAGATGTACCAAGAAGAAAATGGAGAACAAGAAATATAGAAATGTCAAAATATTTGCTTCTGCTATCATACAACTATAAATTATTTATAGAATATTGTTAAAAATTAAAATTCAAAAACAACCATGTAAAAAAATAATGATTTCTTGACAGCATTGTTGAAAAATAAAATTCAAAATCAGCCATTTTTTCATTTGAAATTATTACTTAATTATTTTTTCATTTGAAATTATTACTTAATTATTTTTTCATTTGAAATTATTACTTAATTATTTTTTCATTTGAAATTATTACTTAATTATTTTTTCATTTGAAATTATTACTTAATTATTTTTTCATTTGAAATTATTACTTAANCCGTTTTTAACAATTTTCTCCTGATAGACGCAACAGATAGAAGGAAGACTAGTAGCGATCAAAAGCGCGTATTTTTCGCCGTATACCCCCGTTCATTTTCCGCGAACACTCCCTTTAACTGTCAATTAATTCCGGGTCTTTTTTGTTATGAGAATGATAATTTTTTAAAATTAAAATAATTTTATTTGTTAATTAGTGATCCTACCTTGGAGGCGTCTATGTCAGGATTAAAAAGTTTCTGGTCCAACAAAGAACTCGACTCGGGGGAAAAATTTCTGAAGGTAATTGATTGATTTATGAATTGATCGATTAATTGATTGATTTATGAATTAATAGATTGATTGATTAATTGATAGATTTATGAATTAAATGATTAATTGATTGATTTATAAATTAATAGATTGATTGATTAATTGATTAATTAATTTGATTAATTGATTGATTAATTTCTTTATTTATTTATGAATTGTTTGATTGTTTGATAATTGGTTGGTTGATTAATTGATCAATTGAACTAATCATTAGGATAGATAGGGTGATTGATTGATTCATTAATTGTTTTATTAATTGGTTGATTAATTGATTAATTGTTTTATTAATTGATTGACTGATTGATTGGTTTATGAATTGATTTATGAAATGATTAATCAATCATTTTTTGGGATAGATTGATTGCTGGTTAAATTGTTTGATAGTTGATAGTTTGATTATTATTTGATTATTAGGTAATTAGATTATTAGATTATTAGATTATTAGGTTATTGGGTTATTGGATTAATGGATTAATGGATTAATGGATATAATTAAATGAATGATGATTGATGGATCGTATAGGATTACCTGCTGAATAAGAGATATCTGGGGAACGAAGACAGCACCTATGTACCAACCTACGATCAGATTGTACACGACAGCGACGAGGTAGTTTTGATGTTGTTGTTTTAAAAAAAACTTCATTGTATTTGTTATTCCTTTTTTAACTATGATGGGGTTTTTTAATATGATTTAAAGCATACAGGGTTACCCAGGAAGGATAAGTCTTTAGAGACGACTGTACGGATTTTATATGGCCTGTTTTCAATTCCATATATTCATGATTCTCTGCAACTATGTATGAAAATAAACTTTGACATTGATGAAAATGACATATGAGATTAGAAATCAAATTACCAAGGGGTTGAGTGAAGATGAAAGAAATGTGGAAAAACAGGAAGAGTTCGAACATAAATTTAACTTCAGGTAATTTTGAATTTATCTTTTATTTGTATGAATTTTTATTTGGATCGTAGTCTTTGATCGAAGATTATTATTTTGAGGTTCTTTTTGAAAACATCCGAGTGTAACTGATTTGGACATCCCCCTCTCCCTCATCATATTTCTTTGCGTCACTATCTATCTATCTTAACCTAACCTAACCTGGAATTGTATAATCACACGAGGATGTTAAAGATATAAAGAGGGGGGGGGGTTCACTTAAAAGTATCAGACATACGAGAAAAAGATCAAATATTTTGGTCCCCTGGCCCAAATCTTCAAAAATCTAGTAAAATATTCTTGTATAAACCTAATCTAATCCAAGGTTTGAGGAACCTGATGAGGAATTTATCAAGAGATATCCCAGAACTATCAAGGATACTCTTAGACAAGCAGACGACAAGAGAAAGGTAACAATATTCGTGCTTTTATAATTAATTAATCATCATGAACATATGATCGAGAAAAAAAATGAAAAGTTGGAAAAAAAAACCCCCCTTTTGATACTGTTTACCCAAATGTTATTTATTGTTCTCATTTTTTTCAAGAAAATATATTTCTACCCAATCTTATTGTTTTGTATTCAAAACAATTCCAGATTCCTATTAAATTTCCAAGATTTTAAACCTATATCTTGTTAAAGTTTGCTTACCTTTGCATTTTTGTTATTTAGAAAAAAAAGCTTGAAAACAATTGTTGTTACACGTTATTTTTTTGGATCGTTTTGGATTGGTTTTGGATCGTTTTGGATTGGTTTTGGATCGTTTTGGATCGTTTTTGGTCAGGGTCATCATGTTGCGTGGTTAGTGTAGTAAATGTTAAGAACAAAAGTTTTTGAAGCATTTGCTCTTCTTACACTTTATCAAATTTTGATCCTAAAAGGGATAAAACGAACCAAAAGCGAACCAACTTGATATCACTAATATTTCCCTGGTGTTTAGAAAAAGCGTAAGGAGGTTGAGGAGAGGAAGGCGGAGGAAAAGAGGCAGAAGAAAGAGGAGTTGAAGATGTTGAAGAGTATGAAGAAGAAGGAGATCCTGGACAAACTGGACAAACTCAAGAAGATTACAGGAAACCAGGATATGGAACTCAGGTACCTGGTATATACCCGATTCACAACAGTACCCTTTACAAGTTTGTCGGAGTATATTTGAAGAAGATTTTAATGCTTATAATTTTCAAGTTTTTTTTAATGAAAGATAAACTCAAGAAAATTACAGAAAACAGGATTTTAAAAGGACTGAATGTGTAATTTCAAGTGACTCCTTATTCACATGTTCAATTCACAATGGTATTCTTAAATCTTTGCCTGACCTAAAATGATAAAGATAACAACGTTGTTCGCTCTACAAATGGATAATTTTCAGGTCACTACAAGTGAGTTACACATTTATGCAGCAAAGGAAGAAAAATGACAGAATTTGTTTCTTTTCAGGGCAGATAAACAATAGTTTCAAATATTTAATTAAAGTAAATATGAAAGTCTGATTGATTGTTGGTAATATCAATGTTTAATGGTTACTGTTCCGAATCGGCCATATAGCTTTCCAAGGGAAGGGTCGTTAGAAATTGGAAAGTGTGAATGAATTTTAAGGGTTTTGAGGAAAACCCTTATAATTTAGCAGTGCTTAGGATCGGATCCGGATCCGTTGGATCCGCAAGATTTTGGCTTCCTGGATCTGGATCCGGATCCGCAAAAATATGTGGATCCACGGATCCGGATCCAAGGGGTAAAATATCAACCAAAAACTGCAAAAAAACTTTCTTACTCCTAAAACCAAAATCTGAACTTTTGAAAAAAAGAGAGATAATAAAAATTTCCTCATTTCTGAATGGTTCATCAAGTTTTAGGATAAAATATGCGAAAAAAAATAAAACAAAAAATTTGAAAATTTTTTTTTGTTAAAAAAATTCAGTAAATCTTATCGAAATGACCTGGATCCGGATCCATTTTTTTTCAGTGCGGACCCAGGATCCGGATCCGCATCAAAATTAAATGGATCCTAAGCACTGTAATTTAGTCGCTATATTTATCTTATTTGATAAAAATGAGCAGGAACGAAATTTTCCGTCAACTGGACTCCCCTAACACTCCCTACTAATAGCACCATATCAAATTATGGGTACTCGGGGGGGGAATATTATATCACATTTTTTTTGCAAAAAAGATTAACGTGGAATTCCGCGATAAATGCGAAAATTTGCGCGTTTTTTTTCTACGAAAAGAAAGCGCAAAAATGCGGAATTTGTGGCCAAACAAAATGTTTTCGAGAAAATTGTTGAATTTTGTAAAATTTTATAAAATGAATTAATATTTACGAATATTTCCAGGGACGAGGATATCGACGGAGATTTTGATCCAGTTGAATATGATAAGAGGATGCAAGAGATATTTCAGAATTATGATACTTTAGGGAATACTTGGAGATAAATAGATTACATAGATATTTCAGAATTATGATACTTTAGGGAATACTTGGAGATAAATAGATTACATAGATATTTCAGAATTATGATACTTTAGGGATACTTGGAGATAAATAAATTGCATAGAGATCGATACATTACACACAGACATAGAGATAAATACATAAAGATCATACACAATAAACATACAAAGATATTCAAAGAGAATAAGATTTAATAAGATTCAATAAGTCAACCTAATAAACACAAAATGTTAAACCAAGCTAACCAAGAAAATTCCATATTCCCGCGGTTCTAACGCGTTATTAAGATACATAGATATGCAGAGAGAGATACAAAGACTTAAATAGAGATTAAAAGAAGTGTTTGAATGTGTATTTGAATAAATATTTATAATTTACATGGATTTTTTGGAGATTTTAAAGAAATCCATGTAATTTGTATCAGAAGAAGCGGAGGATCAGAAACCAGAGTTCAGTGATCTTGAGGTAAATAGTTTTATTTAAAATCAAATACATTTCACGCTATTTTATTTGAAACCAGTTTTTTTGTCTAATCAATTTTAATTGCAGCCAGAAGTATGAACTATACATATATATATATTTATGATAAATGGAAGATTGGACAACATGGACTTCAAGATTTTCTTCTTTGTTGATATTTTTACCCTATACAATTATTTATTTCCTTAGAAATAATTTTTTTCCCTAAAATTTATTTATTTCCCTTAAAAGATCATTTATTTCCTTAAAAATCATATATTTCCCTAAAAATCATTTATTTCCGTGGAAATCGTTTATTTTCCTTTTGAAAATCTATCATTTCACTGATTAAGTTGCAATTTATAGGATGTTTCTTTTCTTAAAAAAATTTCATTAGGTAAATTTTTTTGAGAAAATACCTTCTAATTTATGTCGATCCAATCAATACAATTTCCCAAAGAGTTTTTAGAATAAAAAATGAATCAGAAATTGAAATAAATATGTTAAATGTAGGACGAAGAATACGAGGAGGAATTGGAGACTGAGAACTGGGATAACTGGACAGGAGGAGGAGCAGGTAAATAACAGTAAAAGGGAAACCATCATTTCAAAGATGTCAAAGCCCGATTGGCAACGAAACCCTTGAAAGCTCTGTCTGATGAAGATGAAATAATATATTAATGTTCTTAATTTTTAAAACTCACATTGTGGGTTCTCTACAACTTGCGCATTTTTACTACAGGATAAAGTTTAGGAATGATCAGAATTAAACACTTTAAAACCTTTGAACATTATGGTTTAAAGTAAGGTTTCAAGGGTACCTTTGTAAATCGGGCATTGCCATATTTGCAAGGAGGGTCACCTGAAATTACGCTTACAGTCCCTTTAAGTTTACGTAGTACACGCCTTGCTTCTGGTTATGGCTAAGCGTTCGTCGGATTGGTTGACCCTCAATTTATAGAGTGGTTTGTCTATTTACTATGATACCCTTTAAATTTTAATCTGAGCATCAATGATTAAGATATTGTTTTTTTTTTTTTCTCTGGAACCTGTTATTTCCTTATTTTGTCTGCGTTGCATAAGTATGCAAATATTTTTTTTTGGAGAAATCACAAAGTTTTCAATTTTCTGTCTAACCTTTTCTTCATATATTTTATTTTATAGCATAGCATTCATGAATCTTAAATTATTTCTTTATTTATTCATGATGGCGGTGTTTTTGATTTTTAAGTGTTAAATTTATTCTTATTTAAGGTTCTTCTCAGAAAGATGATGATGATTTTAATATGGACTGTGATTATGATCCAACTGCACCAGGTATAGATTGATTGATTGATTAGCTGGTTGATTGATTGGTCGGTTGGTTGGTTGATTGATCGATTGATACATTGATTGATTGATTGATTCACTCACTCACTCACTCACTCACTCACTCACTCACTCACTCACTCACTCACTCACTCACTCACTCACTCACTCACTCACTCACTCACTCACTCACTCACTCACTCGCTCGCTCACTGACTCACTCACTGACTCACTCACTCACTGACTCACTCACTCACTCACTCAGTCACCCAATTACACATTCACTCACTCCCCCACATACACATTCACTCACTCACCCACTTACAAGCTCACTCAATTATTCAATATTCAATCACTTATATACTCGCTCAATAATCCAGTTTTACACTTTCTCAGCCACTCTTATTTTTTTTACATTTTTACATCCATAATTATTGTTTGTTAAAGTGAGCTTAAGCCTACAACAGGAGCTGGTTGAATCTACGCGCGGTAGAAAGAATTCGCGAAGAAGATCTAAATTTGCACGCGCCTTAGAGGAGAGCCAGGCCAAACCTCTCTTCAACCCTACCGATAAAACATTTGAGGTGTGTGAAGTTAAAGAAAATTTTTCAAATTAGTTCAAATTAAAATGATTTTTAATTAAAAAATGTAAACCCATGAATCATGACCGTGTTTTCTTCTATAGCTTGATGGGTATAAGTTTATGTTTTGCATTGGCTAATTTATCATTAAATGTGCTGTGGACCCCGCTTCTTCCTCTAATATACAGGGTTACCCACAAAGGATGAGACTGTAAAGACGACCGAAAACTCTTAAAAGGTTAAATCAAGTATTCGGCCTAATTGCTTTAGTAATCTAATGGCTTATATAATGAATTGGCAAAGAAAGAAACAATTTTACAATTGAAGGGAATCGTGAATGTAAGAAAACAGACAGTTTAAATTCCGTACAATCGTCTCTGAAATCTCATCCTAATCCTGTAGAAAAATCCTGCGACTATCCATATATTTTAAACCAACCTAACCTGGAGAAGTATAATCACTGTAGTTTGCTATCTTTTAGCAGGATAAAATAACTATGACAGGACAGAGCTTAGTATTGAATTGTATCAGCCATGTGTTTGTATTAGATACTAGCTTGAAAACTGAGCATTGCCCACGGTACTCATAGTTACTCACGCCGTTTACCCGCGCTTGAGAGTTAATTACGGTTTTAGCCATTTTTTTTTATAAAAGTCAACCCATTCAACTTAGAGCATTTCCGTGGTTCTCAAAATTTGAAGAAAATCGGTCTGAATTTTATGATCTGACAAACAAACAAACAGACAAAGACAGATAACAACTCTACATAATAATAACAATAATAATAATAATAGAATATAGATGAATACTATTTAGGAGTACGTGGATGAATATTATAAACTTGATTGCGAAGACATTATTGGAGATCTCCCTTGCAGGTAACGTTTTAAAAGAACTTTTTCAACCTTTTCCGTCCGTCTTCATTATAGTAGACATTGAGGCATTGAGGCATTTAGCCAAAAGTCAGTTGTACATTTAAACATTCGGTCAGTTGAATATTAGAAATTAAGACACTCGAAATTTTTCAGACATTAAGAATTTGAGACATTCCCTATTTTGAACCAAGCATATTGCATATATACATGTTGTGTTTATTGGTTTAAGCCCCAGGCGAATGATTAGCCGCAGGGATTTAAATTTTCCTTAAACCCCCCCGGGGCCCCCCTTCTTTAGAAATCCTTGTTTCCCAAGATTTTGATTTTTTAAAGTATGTTTTGTTTTTCTTTTTTTCTGTGTTTAGAGTTGTATGGGTGTTTTTGTTTTGTTAATGTTCGCTGAATTCAGAGAAGAAAATGATTAACATTCTCTTACAAATTAAGTCTGTAGATACAAGCCACGGTAGTTGGGGCTTCACGGCTTCAGCTACTTCCACTCGGGCATAACAGTATCATTGCACATGTCATGCTAACTCTGTGACCCACTTACTCCTAAGGGAGGCAGAGGGTTGCCGGGAGGGGTGGTTTCCTGGTAACATTCGTGTTATTGGGATGTCATTGGGATAGATAGGGGTGTACAGTACACTGTACACTGTACAACATTTTTATTGGGGTAAAAAGTATCAGAAAGGAAAAGAATGCCTTTGAATGTCCAACATATTTATTTTTATTCACTGATAAGTGAAGCTTCTTGATATTTTTTAGGTTTAAGTACCGGACTGTACAGGCGAATGATTTCGGTTTAAGCACGGAGGAAATACTTACAGCAGACGATAAGGAATTAAACGCCTGGGTCTCTCTCAGGTTAATATTTTGAAACATACTATTGATTGATTGATTTTTTTGTTTTATGAAATCTTGTTTATTGGTTATATCAATCATTGTAAGAGATGAAGAATGAAGTTGTAGTTGTATGAGCAAATGAGTGATTACATGTTTTTAACTCTGAAAATTGATTTCTGCTACATAATCAATGTAGGAAACTGTCAGAAGTAAACACTCATCAAACTTGAAAAACGACTTTCTATCATTATCACGTGACTCCGTCTGTATCACGTGACCAGTATACTGCACTGCCATTGGTGGGAGTTCTGGTCACGTGATACGGACGGACGGACGGACGGACGTTTTGTATCTTGATTGATTTTAATCTGACCATTACTGTTTAATTTTTGATATTTTTCAGAAAGACCTGTCAATACCGGGGGGAAGAGGATGAGCGTAGAGATGTGCATGTTTATAAAAACAAGGAAATTTAAATAATCAATCATTCAATCCATCAATTGATTTCTTTCTTATTTTCATTAAGTGTAATTATCAAATTTGATTTGATTTTGATTAATTAATTTGTTTGATCACAATAGGGAAGCAACCCCAACTTGAAGAAGAAGATTCTCCCGAGCTTGTTCAACAAGAAGGACGGGGAGCAAGGGGAGGACGTGGAGGCTGTGGAGGCTGACGAGGAAAAGAAGGACTGTGAGGTGAAAAACTCCGATGGCAAAGTCAAAAAGGTATTCACACAATTTTTTTGGTGAGTCAAAAAAAATTCTTATTTTAATGTTTTAGAAGAAAAAGAAAAAGAAGACAAAGCGCAAGGCTGTGGACAGTGCTGAAAACAATGAGCCAGGCGCAAAGCGGCAGAAATTAGATAATAAAATACCTCAAAGCAAAAACCCCTTCAGTGTCAAATCTAACAATAATCCTTCAAACACTAATAAAGTCCTTCAAACTTACAAACAAAACTCAAAAACCAACAAAATTTCAAATCCGCCAAATATTCGAAAAGATCCGCCAATGAAGATACCAGGAAATCATCCAAACAAGAAAGCAGCCCCGGGCAGTGAAACAGCTGATGCGGCTGAAGGAGGAAAGAAGAAGCGAAGGTCAAAGAAGAAGGGTGGGAAGAGTGGAACCACTATAGTCCCAAGTAGTAAGCTTGCTAAAATATTCCAGAAAACTTCAGTTAAACCAATAACGGATGATAGGTAATGAAGATGAAAACCATATCCATACAATTTTTTAACAATTTTCAAGTTTTTAAGATTTTGAAAACATATATTTAAGTTGAAGTGGTGTAATGTATTTTACATTTAACTTGAAGGGGTCTACTGTATACTTTCTTAAAATATCATTTCCCCCAATCTTCTTGAAAAAGTTTTCCCTTAAAAATTTTCGTAAGTTTGTTTAGGGGGTTTATTCGCAGAATTGGGAAAATAAAAGATTTCAGGGAGAACAATTTCTCATATTTCCCCCCAGATCTTTAAAAATCAATTCTTAAAAGTATACAGTAAACACCCACGTGTCCCACACGCCTGGACATTTTATTAGAGACATATACATACTAATTTGGAAATTTAATGATAGTTTAAAGAAGAAGAAAGATGGTAATGTTTATAATATATCAGGGCAGTTCAGGAACTGGTTTTATTTTAAACAAATAAAAATTTTCTAAAAAAAGTTTGCTATTTCTTAGCAATTAAACCAAATTCTGGGAAATTATTTTACCAAATTGGAGAAATCTAAATTGTCAACAAGTTTCCGATTATTTCTCATAAAATCTAAATTTCTTTAAATTTTGTTTGTTTCAGATTGAAGGCCTACGGACTGAACCCAAGCAAATTCCACAAAGCGGCAAGAAAAGAAAAATATAAACAACACGAGAACAAAAAACAGAATTAACATTTTTTAGAAATTAATTTTCTTAATTCTTTCAGATCTCGATAATGGATGATGAAGCTGAAACCTACAAGATCTGGAAGATCAGGAAGACGGTAATGCAGATTTGTCATGACAGAGGATACCTTGTTACTCAGGTAAAAATGGTCGACGGAAAAAGTGTCATTGAAGACGACCTAAAACATCAATTTTTAAAAGATTTCTGGGCGCCTGATGTCCAGCTTCCTAGAAGTATTATTATTTTCAGTTTTTTCTTCTCCTGCATTTTTTGAAAACTCTTTTTATTCCACTCTTGAAAATCTGAAAATCCTATTTTCCCCCAAATGTTAGGCATTTTTGCGCGGTTTATTTGCTGAATTGGAAAAAAAATAACAATTTTAGTTGGAAATGAATTTAAAGGTTTTAAGTATTAAAAGGATCGATAAACTTGCCAGAGCTGGGAACTTTTGTATTAGATACTCATAATCCCGATCGATTGATCTCGATATTCATTGTGGGCCATTTTAATTTGAGGATCAATGCTTTGCTTTGAGTCTTCGTTTCAATTATCCCTTCAGGATAAAATTACTGCTGCTGTCGAATAGAGGTTAAATTAATCTGCAGATTAACAAAAGATTGCGATCAAGCATTGACCTCGATATGCACAATACAAGAGTTCCCGGCTTGGGTTGATGTCCATTAGAAAAAATTTTTCCCGGAGCGCGTGTAAAATCATTATTTTCTTATTGTTATAGGATGAGTTGGATCAGACCTTAGAACAGTTTAAAGAACAGTTTGGAGATAAACCTAGTGAGCGCAGACCAGCACGCAGTGATCTTGTAGTTCTCGTCGCGCATAACGATGATCCTACAGGTAAATTGGTATGCAGTGATCTTGTAGCTCTTGACGCGCACAAAGATTAATATACAGGTAAAGTTGCGCGAAGTGATCTTGTCCATTTTGTCGTGCACAACGAAGATCCTACAGGTATATTAGCAAGAAGTGATCTTATAGTTCTTGTCGCGAATAACGATGATTTTACATGTAAATTTGCGCGCTTTGATCTTGTAGTTCTTGTTCTTATCGCACATAACGATGATCTTACAGGTAAATAGGCGCAATGTGATCTTGAAGATCTTGCTGCGCATAACGATGATCCTATAGGTAAATTATTACGCAGTGATCTTTTAGTTCGTGTCGCGCATAACGATGATCCTATATGTAAAAAAGCGCACACTTATCTTGAAGTTGTTGTCACGCATGATGAAGATCCTTTAGGACCTAAGTGGATATTAGCACAGTGATTTTGTTCACGCTTCTTGCCACTTTTGCTGTACCATACACTTGCTCAAATAGTTAGGAATTTCAATATTATCTTTATTATTTAAACATTGTTTTTCTTAGATCAAATGTTCGTGTTCTTTCCTGACGATCCAAAAATAGGAATCAAAACCATCAAAACATACTGTACAAGGTAAGTACATGTACTGTAAGTATACAAGGTTAGGAAACTTTCAAGATTTGTAAACGAACCGTACATGGATGGTTAACGGACTGTAAATGTTGTGTGCAAGGTTAGCAAATGTACTGTGCAAGATTAATAAATACCCTGTACAAGTTTAGAAAAAGAACTGTACAAGGTTAGTAAACAAACTAGTTTAGTAAACGAACTGAACATGTATAGTAAACTGACTGTACATGGATAGTAAACGACTGTACATGGTTAGTAAACGAACTGTACATGGGTAGTAAACGAACTTTACAAGGTTAGTAAATATTGTGTACATTTAAAAGGTTAGCAAATGTACTGTGTAAGATTAGTAAACGCCTTGTACAAGTTTAGAAAACGTACTGTACAAGTTTAGAAAACGAACTGTACAAGTTTAGTGAACAAACTATACAAGTTTAGTAAACGGACTGTACAAGTTTAGTCAACGAACTGCACAAGTTTAGAAAACGAACTGTACTAGGTTTATAAATGAAATGTACACGTTTAGTTAACGAACTGTACAAGTTTAGTTAACGAACTGTACATGGTTAGTAAAGTACAATGTTTGTAACGAACTGTACAGTGTACAAGGCTAGTAAATGAACTGTATAAGGTAGTAAACGAGCTGTACAAGTTTAGTAAACGTGCTGTATAAGGTAAGTAAACGAACTGTCAAGGTTAGTAAACGTGCTGTGGAAGGTTAGTCAACGTAATGTTCTTGGTTATTAAACGAACTGTAAGTAAACGTAAAAATATAGAAACCGAAGAACAAACAAAGGATCGCTTGAACGAACGAACTATTCAAAACGAATAAATAAACAAGGAAACTTTTTATTATTTCAGAATGCAAGAGGAGAATATCACAAGGGCTATTATCGTTGTACAGGTGGGGCGAATTTATCACAATTACTTAAACACTGATATTGTTTAATGTTATTTAAAGAAATTTGTCTAAATGATTCTCAATCTTGTTGAAGGTTTTTGTGATGATGCTATTACTTGATGGAAAGTTTGATGCGATTAGTTTATTGGTTAATAAACTTTTTGTTTTTTTGATTGATTGATCGATTTTTGTTCGATTGGATTTTGTTGATGGATTCATTGATTTGCTGATAAACCGATGGATTTATCATTTGTTTGTCTAGACTGCTATTGTTGATTGATTGACTGATTGATTAGCTAGATATGTTTGTTTAATTGATTAATTAATTAATTGATTGATTTTCTAGACTGGTATGATTGATTTATTGATTGTCTAGATTTGATGTATTAATTGATTGATTTCTAGACTGGTATGATTGATTGATTGCTTATATAGAGTTGTATGGTTAATTGATTGATTATAAAAGCTGGAATGGTTAATTGACTGATTGTCTAAACTAGTTGAATTAATTGATTGAGTGATTGTCTAGACTGGTATGATTGATTGATTGATTATATTGACGGTTATGGTTGATTGTTTGATTGCCTTAACTGGTATGGTTGATTGATTGATTGTCTATACTGGTATGATTATTGATTAATTTATTGATTGTCTTTACTGGAATGATATGATATGGTTGTCTAGCTTGGTTTGATTAATTGTCTAGACTGGCATGATTGATTAATTGATTGATTGATTGTCTAGACTGGTATGATTGAGTGTCTAGACTGGTATGATTGATTGATTGATTGTTTGTCTAGACTGGTATGACCCCTTCAGCTAAACAGTCGCTGGTTGACATGGCTCCTAAATATATTCTAGAACAGGTATTATATAAAGCAGAGTGTCGAAGTTGTGTGTGTGAGATTGTGTGTGTGTGTGTGAGAGAGTGTGTGTGTGTGTGTTACCTATACCTATCTCTCTTTCTATCTATCCAAAAAAATCTATCTAGTTCCTTGAGAGTGAGCTCCTGATTAACCTGACTGAGCATGACCTGGTCCCGGAGCATGTTGTTATGACCTCAGAGGAGAAGGATGAACTACTCAAGAGGTCAGAAAATATAAATTTAATCTGAAAGGAACTGTTCAGTTGTTTAAAAGGGACAAAACTCTTTAATTTTTTATATAAGAAACACGACTCTGAAAAAATCACTTGAGTAATCCCTTATTTACTGCTTTTATAACCGATGCTTTTATTAAGAGGAAAATAATTGAAGAATGCATTAGAATAGATTTTTAAAAAAGCCGCATTTAATCTTGAAGTTCCTTAATTTATTAATTTTACAAAGTCCTTATCTGTCTATAGTCGATAAGTTACTGGACCCATCCTCCACTTCCTCTAAATACCGAGATGTAAGCCTCAAGGGGAGGGAGCCCTGTTAAAACTGAAACTCTTATCATTGGAGTTTCCTAAACATTGGAGTTTCCTAAACATTGGAGTTTCCTAAACATTGGAGTTTCCTAAACATTGGAGTTTCCTAAACATTGGAGTTTCCTAATCATTGAAGTTTCACATTGGAGTTTCCTAAACATTGGAGTTTCCTAAACATTGGAGTTTCCTAAACATTGGAGTTTCCTAAACATTGGAGTTTCCTAAACATTGGAGTTTCCTAAACAGTTGAGTTTCCTAAACATTGGAGTTTCCTAAACATTGGAGTTTTCTTAACAATGGAGTTTCCTAAACATTGGAGTTTCTTAAACAATTGAGTTTCCTAAACAGTGAAGTTTCCTAAACATGGGAGTTTCCTAAACATAGGAGATTTCTTAACAATGGAGTTTCCTAAACATTGGAGTTTCTTAAACAATTGAGTTTCCTAGACATTGGAGTTTCCTTAACATTGGAGTTTCCTAAACATAGGAGTTTTCTTAACAATGAAGTTTCCTAAACAGTAGAGTTTCCTAAACATTGGAGTTTCCTAAACATTGAATTTCTCAAAACATTGGAGTTTCCTAAACATAGGAGTTTTCTAAACAGTGGAGTTTCCTAAACATTGGAGTTTCCTAAACATTGGAGTTTCCTAAACATTGGAGTTTCCTAAACATTGG